TGCGCTACCACACCCGGCTGATTTTTTGATTTATTGTAGAGATGAGGTCTTGCTGCCCAGGCGGGTCTCGAACTTGCAGGCTCAGGCAATCCACTCACCTCAGCCTCCCAAAGGCGCGGGATTACAGGCTGAGCCACCGAGCCAGCAAGTTCTGTTTCTTAACCCTTGATGATGATGACACAGTCTTATTTAATTTGTAAAAAAAAAGCTATACATTTATAAGTGAGCTTTTTATTCATATTTCAATAAACATTTTAAAAAACAAATGCATTTTATATATGGCCACAAATCAGGTTTGTCAAAACATTTAGATGTAATCACAGGCTGGGCACAATGGCTCAAAACTGTAATCCTAGGATTTTGAGAGGCCAAGGCAAGAGGATTGCCTGAGCCCAGGGGTTCAAGACCAGCCTGGGCAACTTGGTGAGACCTCGTCTCTACAATATATCAAAAAATTAGCCAGGCATGGTAGTTCATGCCTGTAGTTCTGGCTGCTAGGAAGGCTGAGGTGGAAGGACGGTCAGAGTCCAGCAAGTCGACACTGGGGTGGCTATGAGCGTGCTACTGCACTCCAGTCTGGGCAACGGAGTGAGACTCTGACTCAAAAAATAATAGTAATAAATGTAATTATAAACCATTTTGTTCTTTGATACAAATAGCTAGTATATTAGTTGCCTATGTGGGGGTACTGCTTTAATCTAATTTGACTTCCTTCATGGGCAAAAACACTCTACAGGGGATTCCCAGTGAAAAAGAGAGGAATAAAGAAGGAAGAGAGAAGAAAGAAAGGAGAAAAGGTAATTGGCTGGCACTATGTGAGTTACCATGTAATTTATTTCCTCTTCATAAGTCTGTGGTCAGGCCAAGGGCTTACCTCTAACAACTCATCAACTGCTCTGTTTGAAGGACCCCTATTTAGTACATAATTCAGAATGGGAATTTAGTTGATATCTTCTCTCAAGAAGAGGATGCTACTTCCTTCCAGCTTCCTAATTTCCACACTTTGGGAAATATTGGTCCTCTCTTTACTACTTCAAAATCACTTACGGTCAAGATGGGAGGGTCTCTGGTTACTTCCTTAACCCAGTTTAGTTCCTGAGATGTGATAAATGAAGTATTTCTTAAGTTAATTCTTTCCATTGGTAGAATACGTCCTTCAATCTAAACAGGAAATAAAGCATTTATGACATGAGTCATTGACAAATACTGTTTAGAAAAATACTGCTACTGCTCTCTGAGGCCTGGTCAGTTCCACCGGCACTTGTCCCTATTAGAACTATTGAGAATGGCAGAAAGATCAAACTTCTAGCAGTAAAAGTCCACATCAATAAAAACGTATACATATATGAATAAAATTCTTATAGGTACTGCTCTTTCATTATTGAAGCTTCCCATATGATATTACAAGAAAGGGATGTGAAAACACTGTCTCAGCCGGGCTTGGTGGCTCAGCCTGTAATCCTGTGCTTTGGGAGGCTGAGGTGAGTGGATTGCCTGAGCTCACAGGTTCGAGACCCCCCTGGGCAACTTGGCGAGCTCTCATCTCTACAATAAATCAAAAAAATCAGCCGGGCATGGTAGCGCGTGCCTGTAATTCCGGCTACTCAGAAGGCTGAGGCGGAAAGATCGCCGGAGCCCAGCAGGTCGAGGCTGTGGTGGCCGGGAGCGGCCATTGCACTCCAGTCTAGGCGACAGAGTGAGACTCCAACTCAAAAAACAAAAACAAAAACAAAAAAAACACTGTCTCTTTGGAACCAGTGAATGGAGGAAAATAATCACTGGAAAATATTTTAAGGGAAAAACTGAAAGGAGAAAATTAAAGGCAAAATTTCTTAATAAAGCTGAACAAAGATTACTATTTTACTTTATTCCAAAAAAAGCTGAAAGGAAAAAGGCATAAATAGACTAAAAGAACAAATTAAAATTAGGAATAATAATTAGATCTAAATGTCCAAAAACAGGAAGATAATTAAGCTGATGATACAGTATGATGGACTACTTTGTGATCATTAAAATCACTTTCTACAAACATGTAACATGATCCTGTTTTTCCAAAAATAATAGCATAAAAACAAAATGAGGCCAAACTTAGTAGTGATTTTTCTCGGGGGCAGGTGTTAACTATGGTGGACTTTTACTTTATATGACTGCTACTGTTTGCTTTAAAAAAAAAACTTTATTGCCGGGCTCGGTGGCTCAGCCTGTAATCCCAGTGCTTTGGGAAGCTGAGGTGAGTGCACTGCCTGAGTCTGTGGGAAGGCAAAACATGTTGAAACTTTCTAGAGGGCAACTGATAATATATAATAAAAGTACTGAAAACATAAATGGTCCTAAATTATTTCAGTTCCATAAATTTGACCTAAGGAAATAAACAATAATACAGGCAAAGATTTAGTTATAGTGATGTTCACTGTATTACTACTTATAATAGAAATATATTAAATTCACTGACTGTAAAAGAATAGGAAATTGGCTAGGCACAGCCTCTGCACTCTGGATTGTACCTACAGAAAATACAACATAGTTGACTCTGGCAAACTTCGGGTTGAAAGGGCTACAGGCATGGGTGCAGTGGCTCATGTCTATAATCCCAGCACTTTGGGAGGCCGAGGTGAGAGGATTGCCTGAGTCCATGGGTTCGGGACCAGCCTTGGCAACTTTGCTAGACATCATCTCTACAATAAATCAAAAAATTAGCTGGGTATGGTGGTGCATTCCTGTAGTTACAACTACTTGGAAGGCTGAGGCAGAAGGATCACCTGAGCCCAAGCAGGTCGAGGCTGCAGTAACCGTGAGCATGACACTGTACTCCAGCCTGGGTGACAGTGAGATTCCAACTCAAAAAAAAGAAAAAGAAAAAGAAAGGGCCACAAGAAAATTAGATCATACAAGTCAGAGATACTTTGATGCCTACAGAAAAAACAACAGCAGTATATCCAAGTCAATTATTGAGAAGGGAGAAAAAAGAAAAAAAAAAAAAAGAAAAAACACATAGAACTTTAGGAATAATTAGGGTTAGAAAACTGAAAGTGGGTAAATTTTAAGCTAATACTCCTTTTGTTATCGATTTGACCAGAAATTAATAGCTTAGATTCCTGGGAAACAGGAAAAATCTGTAAAAGACACCAGCAAATTAAGTCACAGAAATTCAAATACCATGACTGGGGTTAAAGAAAAAAGTGTAAGAATAAAGCAGCCAGACTCAGTGGCTCAGTTTGTAATCCCAGCACTTTGGGAAGCTGAAGCGAGTGGATTGCCTGAACCTGCAGGTTCGAGATCAGCCTGGGCAACTTGGCGAGACCTCATCTCTACAATAAATAAAAAAAAAAATTTAGCCAGGTATGGAAGCGCATGCCTTTACTTCCGGCTACTTGGAAGGCTGAGGCAGAAAGATCACTGGAGCCCAGCAGGTCAATGCTGAGGTGGCCATGAGTGTGCTACTGCACTCCAGCCTGGGCGATTCTGACTCAAAAAAAAAAAAGAAAACAATAACCTTAAAATAAAGACAGGACAGAAAGTCATTGCCTAGTGTTACCATGCTCTAAAATCCTTGTTAATGCCAATTGCTACTCCATTACATCTTCTGGTTTACCTTATGTACGTCTTTTTGCAGACAGAGTCCCCAACGCATCAATTCATTGCTGGCTTTCTCATTCTTTGAAATTCTCTGAAGCAAGCATTGCAAAGCACAATGGTGCTGTTTGGGGCTCAGATTAATCTGCTGGGTCAGATCCTAAATAGAATTAAAATGAAGAAAATAATCTTAAGTATTACTTTCTCCAATATGAGGTTGATTAAACCCCAATATGTCTAGAATGTTTCCATAAGAAAGTTTTTTCCCATTGAAATTAGTATAAATTTTCAAATATCTCCAAAGACTTAGATAAATCTCTCTCAGGAATGTGAATGAGGCATCAGGTAAAAACTGAGTAATAGATATAAGATTTTTAAACATTATTGACTCTTCTTCCTTCATGATATACGACTCATCTCTTTCTCAAAGCATGTTGATTTTGAAATTCCTAAGACATTATATGAAACAGGAGCAAAGGGGCTTGATTATACCCATTTAAAATTTGGGACTGGGTACAGTGGCTCAAGTCTGTAATCCTAGCACTTTGTGTTTTTTTGAGTTGGAGTCTCACTCTGTCACTTAGGCTAGAGTGCAGTGGCACACTCACGGCCACAGCAGCGTCAACCTGCTGGGCTCCAGCAATCCTTCCACCTCAGCTTTCCAAGGAGCCGAAACTACAGGTGCGTACTACCACGCCCAGCTAATTTTTAAATTTATTGTAGAGAGGAGGTCTCACCAAGTTGCTCGGACTGGTCTCGAACCCCTGGGCTCAGGCAATCCACTCGCCTCAGCCTCTTAAAGTGCTGGGATTACAGGCTGAGCCACCAAGCCCAGCCAATCAAAAAAAATAATCTGGGACAAGCAGGAGGAAAAATGCCATGTGCCAGGGACAGAATGGAAAACCATATTCAGTCTAGCACTTTATGTCATACTATCTAGTCATTTAATATTACTGTAACTTTTTGCCCAGAACTTGCCATAATGTTTGACTTATTAACAGGTGCCTGCTAAACACTTATTATTTAGTAACATCTAACAGGTGTGTATGAAAATTCTGAAATCACATAAGTGATCTCTTCATTTATTCTTCTGAGTCTAATGAACTACACAGTTACTGTTCCCTGTGAGGTAGTTACTAGGGTCAGTAAGTTCACAGGGCTATATAGATAACTCTACAATCATAAAGTCATCAGGCAACTAAGAGTTGTAAGGAAAGGCCTTGACCTACAAAGTGGGTCAAGCAGAAATATCAAAAAGTAAACATGACAGAAAACTCTAACAGGAATTTTGGGCTTCATTTCAGGTACTTGATGACATTACCAAAAATTATATGTGGCATACAAGTCCAAGATAGACAAGGACTGGAAATGGAAAGTAAGGCAGCAGACAGTAACTCAAGTGTGGGCAGCCCCGTAAGTCACAGACAGAGTAAGACAGGTTGCTCCTCAGAGTCTGGCCTTGCTGCCTGGGTGCCAGCTGCTATACCCACCTCTGCCTCTCAGTCCTACCTATGGGAGCTGAGCCCAACACTCCCAGGATGCTCAGGGCCCTGCAAGATAAACTTCAAGCCTCATCTTCTGCCTTGTTGACTTTTTGTTTCATTATCTCCTCCACAGCTTCAAATAAATGGAAAGCTTACAGAAATGTCACAATATTTTAGTGCTTTCAAAGAACTTCATTCATGGTCATATGACCTGATTACAATCATCAATCTGATTGGTGAGGATGAAGACAGTTGTTTCTTCTTATTTTATAACTCAGTTTCTCTATTGCTCTAATAACCTTCAGAAGGAAGTTCTGATATTCTTTGTTCATGTTGTGTGTGAGAAGGGACATAGATCATGTTTTACAGAGAGGAAAGCTGGGGCCTGGAAGGGACTTGCCCAGGTCACAATACAAGTAAGCGTCAGAGATGTAACCTGGTTTGGTTCTAACTCAAACTGCTATCCCAAAAGGTTGCTGCTCAAAGGCAGCGTTTCCTGCTGAAAACAGCAGAACTCCCACCTTCATGACTCTGAAGTCCTTCTTCATCTTTTCTGGGATTCCAGTCATAAAAGAAAGCTCAGGCAGCAGCAGGATTTCACGTTTTAGCAGCTTTGAAGAGAGAATGAAGAGGGAAGATAAGACAGTAAAAGAGAATCATGTTTCCCTGACCCGTACAAGACATGCCATGGCCCAGGGCTGGTCCTGCAGTGATATAACTTGAACACTAAGGAATATAAAGCCCTAGAGAAGAAAGCAGTGAAAATATTTCACTCCCTTTCCCCTCAATCACATATAGCCTGCTTTATTACATCAAGGGAAAAATCCTGAAACTGTCAAAAGGAGAGGAAAAACTAGAAAAACAAAATAAATTCTGTCCCTCATGTGCCTCAAGACAATGGTAAATGCATTCTTATCAACAAGCTGTGTGCCTCAGTCTCATAGTATCCCGCTGATCTTCAGTCTTCACAGTTAAGACAAGACACCTTCCTCTGGCCCCTACCCCCGTTGAAATAAATACCTATACCTTTCCTGATGGATCCATAGTTTTAATCATCCTTCAGAGAGAATTTTTACTCCTTTAACCCAAATTGCTCATGTGGGTATTTAGCTCCTCCTTGTGGGGACTTCCAAAGCTAATCCTACCAGTGTGAAGGGGGTGTCTTTGGCTGGAAAGACAGACAAAACCCTACACAGCTTTCCCCAACCACACTGCGATCACTGCTTCTGGCTTCCACAGAGCCATGACAATGCTAAAAGTGGCGAATGAAGAACTTAAGCTGGAAGTGTAAGCCTGACGCTCCCCACTTACCATCCCATGGTTATTCTGTCTCTCACTGGGCCTGTGGATTAGCAGTGGCTGGTTCTCCTCCTTAACTGTGATCCCATAGTTTTTGCTGGAGCAGGGTGGAGGCAGGAAAAAATTTCAGAAGCAGCATCACTACTCTTACAGCAACAGAGTCTGAGTCTCTTGACCAGAGATGAGGTATACAATTTGCACAATACCCTAGTCAAGGATCCATTAGAAACTCATCATGATATATTTATAACTGGAAAAAGCAGGCTCAATTTATAATGCCATTAAATAAGAAGGCTAAAAGTCCTAGAAAGAATATGTTAAAAACTGCATCAGGCTAAAGTGCTTAGCAATGGAAAGATGATGGTCAAATGATTAATGACTTGAATTTAATCTCTCCATCCAGGCTTTTAACAAAATCAGCAAAAGAAATACAATTCAAAGCCCTGATATTTATGTAGTAACTTCCAAAATTACTAAAAGAAATGAAACTATAAGGGTAGCATATTCAGGTCAAACTCCACAAATGGTTCATTCACTCTTAGGCATATTTTAACTCAATTATTTTAAAAGTATCAAGGGATATGCTACTGAGGAACTCAATATCCTACTAGAGAAGGTAGAGTACATCCCACCCTCACCCTTAGACCCAAACCTAGTCTATTCTTTCTACCTGTAGTATTCCAAGAATGTAATCTCCTTCCCATCGGACATGGTGAAGCTGTCTTTTGGAGTCTTATTCCAGTCCATATCATCAATGCGATAGGTACGATTGTTGTATCGGGTGATCACAATACTGCCAACCAGAAGCTTAGTACACTCGTCCTGGAAGTGCTCTTTACTCTGCTGATGTATGACATGCCTTTGGAAAGAGACAGAAGACTTCTGGATCACACTGCATACCGAAAGCAATACGAAAGGGATAGAGGATTCAAATAAGTAATTTAGAGGTCTAATCACAGCTCTATAGTACCAGAAAGCTCCAGTTGTGTCTTTTTTTTTTTTTGAGTTGGATTCTCAGTCTGTTGCCTAGGCTGCAGTGCCGTGGCACGCTCACCGTCACTGCAGCCTTGACCTGCTGGGCTCAGGCAATCCTTCTGCCTCAGCCTTCCAAATAGCAGGAACTATAGGCATGCACTACCACACCTGGGTTATTTTTTAATTTATTGTAGAGATGAAGTCTCACCAAACTGCCCAGGCTGATCTCAGGCAATCCTCTCAATTTGGTCTCCCCAAAGTGCTGGGATTATATGCTTGAGTCACTGCATCCAGCTTCAGTCGTGTCTTTTAAAAGATGGAACTCGCCGGGCTCAGTGGCTCAGCTTGTAATCCCGTACCTTTGGGAGGCTGAGGTGAGTGGATTGCCTGAGCCCGCAGGTTCAAGACCCGCCTGGGCAGCGAGACCTCATCTCTACAATAAATAAAAAAAATCAGCCGGGCGTGGTAGCGCACGCCTGTAGTTCCAGCTACTTGGAAGGCTGAGGCGGAAGGATCGCCGGAGCCCAGCAGGTCGAGGCTGCGGTGGCCGGGAGCGGCCACTGCACTCCAGCCTGGGCGACAGAATGGACTCCAACTCAAAAAAAAAACCCAAACAAACAAAAAAAAGAATCAGGCAAGACTCCTTTTCTGTGGGCTGGCATCAGCCAGGTTGGATTACTTAGTGACGCTAGTCCGGAGGAACTGTGAGGGATGAAAATGGTTCTGCAGTAAGAGTTGAGGCCACTCTGCTTCTTATAACGTCTTCTTAGAGCGGCACAACACACAACACCACATCACGCTTTGAAAAGTGCTCAAGTAGAGAAAGGTATTTAACTTTATTTACCTCCAATTTCTTTAACCACAGATGACTCCTCATACTTTTATGTTCCACCTTATTGAACATCTACTACCATTCTGAGTGGTTATTATTCTGCAGAACTTGCCTTCAGAAATATTGCAGTAAGTGATAAAAACCATCAGAGATGCAGCAGTTCAACACTGACTACAGGCTCTGGAGCCAAAATGCTTCCACATTCTAATCTTGGCTCTGCCACTCAACACTTGTGAGACTTTATGCAAGCTACCTAACTTCCCTGTGTCCTCCTCATGTGAGAATGAGTGCAGTAAAAGAACCTGAATAAGAGTGCTGATGAGAGAACTAAATGACTGCAAATATCATCACTGCCACTGCATGTGACGATGTTAGGTGAATGGATTACTAGAATGAGTGGCAAGGCCCACATAAATGTGTGGTTTTATTCTGTTAGTTTGAACAGAGAAGAAATTGCTAAAGAGAGTTCACAATATACATAGGTAATTATGAAAGTCAAAAGCAATCACTAGTACAGAATCCATATTTAAACAATATTGAAATTGAAATATATTTTCCTAACCCTTGTAACAACTCTCAATTTTCTCTCGTTAAATGTTTCACCTAATTATTATCTTCTGTACAAGAAAAGGGAGGTCGGGACACGGGGAACAGGACAGTCAAGAAAAGCTAAAAAGGGCCTGAGTTGCAGGAAATAAAGAAAATATAGGACTGCTGGACTTGGTAGTTTATGCCTGTAATCCCACTGCACTTTGGGAGGCTGAGGCGAGAGGATCACTTGAGCCCAGGAGTTCAAGATCAGCCTGGGCAACCATAGCAAGATGCCATCTTTTTTTTTTTTTAATAAAGTTTTATTTTTCCAAATGTACAGCTGGTTTGACCTGTTCATGCATCTTCACCAGCCGCTGGCATCTCCACCCTTAGTGTTTCTGGTATAAATTACTTGAGCTCTGTGCTTTGAAATCACTTTGATTAGGCTTTTACTAAGGAGCTCCTGAAGGGCTTGTCCTGGCCAGAGAACGTCGAATCTTCAGTCTCTCAGAGACCACAGCTGGGGTTATGAGCTTATAACTGGGAATATTTTTACAGAGTTTCTCATATGTAACTTTGTCAAATAAGGCTAGGTTATTACACTTGTCACAAACTTTGCCTTTGGGTCACTTCTTTTTGGCTTTGTCCCCAGATTTGTTCACTGGGTCTTTGTCTTTCTTGACCAACTTTCCAGTGTCTTTCTTCTTCTTGTCTTCCTTGGGTGGCACTGTGAATCTAAGACAGCAGCAGAAACCACTGCAGCCTCGCTAAAATGTCAGACAAAAAGCAAAATCTTGCTCAAAAAAAAATTGGCAGGGTGTGGTGGCACATGCACCAGAGGCTGAAGCAGGAAGACTGCTTAAGTCCAGGAGTTCGAGGTTACAGTTAGCTATGTTTGTACCACCATACTCTGAATAAATAAACAAATTCTAAAAAATGTATTACTTTAAAATAACTATAAATCATAGAAGGCAGAAAATCTGTGCAAAGAATCCTGTATATAAGCCTGGGCAACATAGCAAGAACTCATCTTTAAAAAAAAATTAAGCAGGGCTCGGTGGCTCAGCCTGTAATCCTGCACCTTGGGAAGCCGAGATGAGTGGATTGCCTGAGCCCGCGGTTCGAGACCTGCCCGAGCAACTTGGCGAGATCTCATCTCTACAATGAATTAAAAAAATCAGCCTGGCATGGGAGCTCATGCCTGTAATTCCGGCTACTTGGACGGCTGAGGCAGAAAGATCGCCGGAGCCCAGCAGGTCGAGGCTGCAGTGGCCGGGAGCGGCCACTGCACTCCAGTCTGGGCGACAGAGTGAGACTCCAACTCAAAAAAAAAAGAAAAAAAAAATTAAGAAATTAGCCAAGCATAGTGGCGTATGCCTATAGTTCCAGCTACTTTGGAGGGTGAGGAGGAAGGATCACCTGAGCCCAGAAGGTAGAGGTTGTGGTAAGCTGTGATTGTATCACTGCACTCCAGTCTGGGTGACAAAGTGAGACCTTTACTCAACAACTACAGCAAAAAAAGGGAATCCTATGTACAAAACTGCTATTGGCACAATATCATTAGCTAGACTATAGATCTTACTCCATTTTCACTGTTTTTACACACTGATATATGTGTATATATGTGTGTGTGGATGGGTGTGGGTGTAATTCTATGCTGTTTTCTCTCATTTATATGTCTGTGCAGCCACAACCACAATGAGATACTGAACTGTTCTAAGTCACCACCAAGAAATTATTTCATACCCCTTTATATTCACACTCCTCCCTCCTTGTATCCAGTAAACACCAGTCTGTTCTCTATTCCATAGTTTGTCATTTTGAGACTGTTATATAAATGAAACCAGAAAGCATTCAATCTTTTGAATCGGGAAAACTTAATCTGGGCATTGGGAAGTGAACCTATGGCAAGCCAACTAGTGGCAATGGGGAAAATCAAAGTCTTGCTAGCCCAGACTTGTAGTCTAGGTTGGGGTGAGCAGGATACCAACCAGAAATTTAAGGGAAAGATCCTGGAAATCAGAAACTCATAGAAAGCTACGGTGAACTTGCCACACATTCTTGGCTATCTGGGAAGGTACCTATGCTCAAGAGAAAGCCAAGAAATCCCAACTAAAAGTTAAAGACAAGGCAGACAGGAACCACCTGCAACTTTGAAAGTATTTCCCAATCTATACACCAATCCGTCAGCAAAGATGGAAGTCTTATGAGTTCAAGGGGTGTGAGTACAACCAACCTCTCCCCAGATCATTACCTGAATGACTAAGCTCTACAGATGAAGGTCACAATATGATAAGAAAAGAAAAACTGGCCAGGCATGGTGGCACATGCCTGTAATGCCAGTGATTTGGGAGGCCAAGGCAGGAGGATGGCTTGAGCCCAGGAGTTCAAGACTGCAGTGATCTATAATTATACCACTGGACTTCAGCCTGAATGGCAGAGTGAGACCCTAACAATAATAATTAAAAAAAAAGAAAAAGAAACTATAAACCCAGCACTTTGGGAGGCCTAGGCAAGAAGATAGTCAGAGCCTGTGGGTTCGAGATCAATCTGGGCAACATGGTGAGACCTTGTCTCTATGATAAATAAAAAAAGAAGACAGGTCTGGGCAGCGCACACCTATACTTCCAGTTACTTGGAAGGCTAAGGTGGAAGGATCACCAGAGCCCAATAGGTCGACACTGGGGTGGCTGTGAGCACGCCACTGCACTCCAGCCTGAGTGACAGAGTGAGACTCCAACTCAAAAAAGAAAGAAAGAAAAGAAAAGAAAAACTGAGCAGAGACATCAACAGCTGCACACCAAAGGGGTGATAGAGTCCAGAGTTTAAATATGAACAAGTTAGTGAAAAAAAAATTTTTTCAAGAAAATAAACAGAATCCAGACTTGCCACAGTGTATTATCTGAAATGTCCAGTTTTCAATTACAAATTATTAGATATGCAAATAAACAGGAATATGTGAACAATAATCAGAGACCACATATTGCATGATTCCATTTGCATGATAGGCAAATCCATAGAGATAGAAAGTATGTTAATGGCTGGGACTGATGGGGGGCTGAGAAGCAGTGGCTAAGGGATGTGATGTTTCTTATTGGGGTGATGGAAATCTTCTAAAACTGATTGTGATAAGAGATCCAAAACTGTGAATATACTAAAAGCCACTGACTGTACACTTAAAATGGGTAAATCATATAGTATGTGGGTTAAATCATATAGTATGTGAGATAAAACTGTTTTTAAAAATGAAGATGACATAAAGCCATTCCTAGATAAACAAAAATAGAGAATTTGTCGTAGAAAGAACTACTCTACAAGAAATTTTAAAGGAAGTTCTTCAGGTTAAAAGAAAAAATAATACCAGATGGCAACTTAGATCCACAGGATGGAAGAATATGGACATGATTCATATATGGACAAAGACGAAAGAATGTATATATATTTTCCCTCTTAGTTTCTTTAAACTCACAGCATTGGGCAACCCCTCGGGTCCCCTCCCACTCTGGGAGCTTTTCTGTCCT